CGATCAAATCAGTCATATTGACGCCAGACTGCTTGAAAATATTACTCCGGTGATCAACTATTGCCTGGCTACTTTCTATGACGACTCTGAGGCAGATCAGCAAGAAGTTGAACAGATCACTGGTATGTCTGAGTGTATACACTTACTGTTCTTGCAGCCCCACTGACACAATTATCTCAGAAATCCTCTCTCTCCTTAAATCGATGTCCCTCGAAGAAGTCCCCGATGACCCGCCTTCCGGTATGCTCCGATCTCTATCCCTCCTGAATGGCCCTGGAATATCATCTAACCCGATCCCCCTAGAATCGGACGTGGCATCAGTCGAGGAATGGGACGCAAACTCTGCGATCGCAAGTGATTCCGAAATGGGAGTCGCTGGATCTCCTTAGACAATAATATTTCCTGCTGCAAAGTGCTTTTTGTTGTGTTTCTTTTCCATGCGTTTTTGCGATGTCAATGGATTCAGCGAGCACAATGTGTGCCTGTGATTAAAGGCAAATTCTCATACCTCACGGATTTTACGAATTCTTGCTGTTGTTGTTTTTTTCCCTTGCGATGATTGTGGTTACTGGCGTTTTCTTTTGCTCTTGATGAGCCGGAGTAGGATTTATTTCTATGAAGGGTGGCTTTGGACGGACAGGTCATCTACATGCATTTCGCAAGCCTATTTCCGAGCATTGAAATGAAAGAGTTTCTGGTCTCGAGACCTCACTCTTTGAGTGACTTGGAATTCAACAAAAGTTCGTAGAGCATTATTGTTCATTTCGTTCAAGTAACGCGAATATTTATCTTGTTTTGATTAACCCTCTTCCTCTCCGCCAGCTGGAGCATCGCCCTCATCTTCTGATTCGACCTCCACGGCAGCAAGTGCATCCCGCTGGGCCTGCGGGGCGGGGGGAGCGCCGCGACCCCTTCTACCAGCCCTGGGGCTGCCGGGTTCAGCAGCAGTGGGTGCAGTTGCGAGTTTAGCCGCTGGAATGCCACCAGAAGTAACATAGAGGAAGTAGCCCGCGGGGAAGTGATCGATATGGTTGAAGAAAGAACCAAAGCTGCAGTCAAAGTCAGTATTGTCTTGTGTGAGATCAAACGAGGGGATTGGAATAATATCATACCCAGCGCTTTCTTCCTCCTCTCGGAAAATCCGATCATAGATCTCCCGCTGCTTGAACTCATTCATCTCCGCCTCGAACTTCTGGAAATTGATCGGCTGACGATCAAGACCCTGTGCCTTGGCATTGTAAGCGTCGAAGATAGGGCGCTCGAGCAGGAGGCCCAGACCAGGCGCTTTGGGAATAGCAATGCGATCGGGGCCATAGGTCTCAGTGATCCGGTCTGGATGGCAGCCCGAGCGGACAACCATTGCAGCCATGGCGACCATCTTACGGATCTGATGCATCATGAAACTCTGTCCGTGGACCTTCAGGCTGAGCCATTCCGTGCCATCGATGATAATCGGCGTGGCGTTCACCTTGAATGACTTGATGTGTCGTTTTGCGGAGGGGTCCTTGAACGTCTTCTGGATCGTGTAGTTGTGGAAGTTCTTGGTCCCTTCATAACGGTCGAGACATTCTTGCAGGCGGGCGATGCGTGAAGCGGGTGCGCGGTAGGCGCGTTTCGCGGTCAGGTATGCTGCTTTGATGGCCTTGATGGCGTCATTGATGGCTTTTTGGCGGGGGTCCATAACGAAGGGCTTGGCTTCTGCGTCGGCGGGCTGTTCAGTCGTGGGCTGTTCGCTGGCCTCCTGCTGAGTGGGTTCACCGTCTGGCGCCGAAGAAACCTCCTTCTCTTCTGAGGGTTGGAGTGCATCGCGGGACTCGTCTTGGTAGAGGGACTTTTCAACGAGGCTGCGGATGTTTTCCGGCAGGGCTTCCAAAATAGGCTTGATGTACTTCACATCAACGTCTTCCCAATAGCTTGCGACCTCTTCCTGTCGAGCTGTGACGGCGTCCAGGTCGCCTGCTTTCTCGGCGAGCTCAACGATTTTCTTTCCAAGATAGGTGCTTGGGTGAGGTGGCAGGAGACAGTGGCTTGGCATCAAATATTCGTAAACACGAGAATCGCACATCTGGTAGCAGCTGAAACTTTTACTGGTAATTTCGTAGCCCCAGACACGGATTTGGGGGCTGAGTTGGGCGTTGATTTTCTGGATGATATCCTCATCCTCGACAATCATCTTCAGCGAGACAACATTTCCAGCTGCGTGGACACCCTTATCTGTGCGGGCACAACGGACGAAGGAAGATTTCTTAGGATCCGCAGCGTTCGCTTTGGAAACCGCGCCGACATTGACGAGGGCCGTGAATAGATCACCTTCAATGGTGCGTTGCTGCTCGTTCCTATAAGATACCTTGTCAGAACAAGGAACCATACGCTGAACAAGAAAATACCTACAATTGCATTCCAGAGTATCCAGTTCCCGAGTACCCCATCAGAAGCGCAACCTTCTTTTTGGGGCGGCGCTCCTCGCTATCGATCTCCTCCTTAGAGAATTGGGTCGCATAGATCGGCAAGTTGACTTCTTCGCCATTCTCAATCTTGCGACGCTTGGCTTCAGCCTTGTCTTCATGACGCTGACGCTTGTCTATCGCTTGACGACTTAATTAGTTAGCCGACAATGCGAAGAACAAGAGAGTACAATTGATGCGGCATACCTCCATTCCGCTCGCCCCATATCGCGGTTCTTACGCCTTCCACCACCTGCGCCTCCTGCTCCTGTGTTGTCGGCCATTGTATCCGCTGGAAGATCTCTGATAACTCCGCACGAGGTGCAGACGGGTCGCGCCAGAAAGACCGGTAAAATTGACGACTAACGGCGTACTTCCCGGTGTTTTGGGGGAGCGATCGAATTATAATCGAGCTTCTGGGTGCAGTTACGATCCCAAAAAGGTTCCGCTGGTGAATGATCGAGGCACGCATGAAATCAAATGTTTCGGGGAAATCTGCCCTTCGTCTCCGCGCGGTTCATCTTTTCGATTATCTCGGTACTAGTCCTAGAACAGACTAGTGCATATATATATCAGACTAGCCGTATCTGGTCAAATCTGAGCCTGAGGAATCAACTTTGCATGTGACGTGCAGCTCCGGGCTTTGAATCGGAATTGCAACACTCATTGTTTAATCAACAAGCTCGGCGCTGCCTGTCGCTCAAGCGCACTCTCTCACTTCTGTCGTGGACCCACTCACTCCTTTCGCTGTCTTTGATCAAAGCATGCTTGTCTTGTTCAACCTCTGAACACTGCCACTTATCGCCTTGCGCTCCCGTTGAATTCTCTCCCGGCCTTTTTCCCGACTACCATCTTTTGCTCCGGAGCTTCTGCAACCATGGATCTTTCAAAGACGCTTATCCGAACAGTGGCGCGGGCCTTTTACGAAACCCGTCACATATTGGTTGTCGATGCGCTCTTCTTACATTCAGTGTATGATGAGAGTTGATCTCTGTTGAATGGTCACATTGCTGACTAGCTACAGCCTTCACGCTGAGGATCTCGCCTTCTTAATGGGGATGCAACAAAAAGACCTCCGCAAGCTTTGTGCCAGGCTTCGAGAGGACCGCTTGATCGGAGTGTATGTCACTTTTTCCTGACACGACCTATCACAAAGGGTGGAAAAAAACAAGGCTGATCCAGTTTTATGTTGATATAGGAGCACACGCGCCGAGATACGTGATGGGTCTACTCGCCCAGTCAACCGCGAATACTATTACATCCCGCTGCACCCGGTTGTCGATGCGATCAAATACAAAGTCTCCAAGTTGACAGCCACCATCAAAGCGCAGTACACACCAAGTGAAGAGCGCAAGGAATACATTTGCGTGCGATGCAAATCCGAGTGGACCGAACTGGACGTACTGAGTCTGGTTGGAGATGAGGGGTTCGAGTGTCAGAATTGCGGCGCCATCCTGGAACGGACAGAGGATGTGAAGGGTGTGGAAGGAATTGAGCGTACGGGTCACGAGAAAAACAGTAAGCTTATGGCACAGCTCGACAACATGCTCAAACTGCTCAAGCAGATTGACTCAGTCGAAATCCCGCCGAATGACTTTGAGACGGCGTGGGATCACAAAGTGGAGGTTATCCGGAACCAGAACACGCACCCAGTCCGTGCGGCGATTGCTGTTCCACCCAAGGCCCAGGATATCACACGTCCCAACGCCAAGACGGATGCTGCTGCACTGGAGATCTCTCTTACCTCAAGTGAAGAGAAGAGTGCCGCCGAGCAGGCCGATGAGGCCGCTCGTAAAGCAGCACTCGAAAAGCAAAACGCGCTTCCAGTTTGGCACACACATTCCACGGTTAATGCAGCCCAGGCTGGCACTTCTCAGACCAAGACAGAGTCGGGCACCGTGGTGAAGCCCGAGCTTGCGGATGAGGATCAGAAACCCAGTGTGGATGCCTTGGACGACAAAGTCGCCGCTTACTACGCTGAAATGGAGCGGGAGAAGGCACTGCAGGCTCAAGCAGATGCTAGCAGTGCAGACGATGACTCAGATGAGGAAGACTTTGAGGACGTTGAGGGAATTTCTGGTCCAAGCGGACCAGGTACGCCTGCTATGGCTGGCGGCATTACAAGTGTCCCTAACACATCTTCTGGGGGCGCTGGCATCAAGCGTGAACTCGAACCGACCTCCAGTGCCCCTCAATCATCGGTTGGGACTCCATCTACCCCTGCTGACGATGGACCTTCGGCAAAGAAAATCAAGGTAGATCCTGATATCAAGCCTGATCCTGATGCCAAAATCGAGGCTGAAGTCAAGAAGGAGGCCGAGGAATCTGATGAGGATGATGAGGAATTTGAAGATGTCTAACGAAACCATTAAAAAAAGGCCAATATTGGCGCTGGCGCCGAATAATTATGGCAGACTGGGGATCCCGCCCCGGAGGCTTGCAAGACCATTGAAACCGCGCATAGCCATAGAATTGCATTTCACCCAATCTTCAAGGCTCCACGAGAATTAAATTACATTGACAACATTGATTGCAACAAGCCAGAAAACCAACACACTATAATTTTGCCTTTATAACATCTTGATAGTATAATTCGATGATTGCTCGTGCAGGTGCATCATTCTTCGCAATGTGGTTCATCATGGAATACACATCTTCCGTTCGACTTAGCAACTGTCCTCCAAGATTGACGTTTGTGAACAGCTGCAACTCTTTACAGCTTTCCACCAAGGGATGCCGGCTAAGAGCGACAGTCTTATCCTCACGAAATCCGAAAGAAGTGCCAAAGATTACATAGAACCGAGGCAGGGGATGCTGCTCGTAGGACTTCCAGTCCAGCTCTTTCCAATTCAAATCAAACTTCCCAGGCAACCGACGTATCGAAGCCACAGACTCCCACCACTTGATGAATTTATGCCGTTCTCGCTGCCCACTGACTGCATGCACACAACCATTGGTTCCCACAGCCAAATGGGCGAGCAAACGATCGACAACCACGTCGACAGGAACCTCATCAATAAATACTTGAGAGCTTTTTTCTACTGCTTTTATTGCAGCAGTAACCATGCCAGCAGGGCTCAGTGCAATTATAGCAGCAATTTTTGTCAATGGGCTTGATAGTGGCACGTTGTATTTAAAATCCGGGAAGCTTTGGGCCGGTCCGATGACAGAAGGGCGCATAATCAGCAGCTTGTCCTTGACATCGCTTTGAGTGAACCGATGGAGGAGGATTCGCTCTGTCAAGTTCTTTGCATATCCGTAGGACCATGGGAAGTCGTGTGCTTCATACGCATCGCTAGAGCCACTCTCTTTCACTTGTGCCCACTCTTTCATGACGTTTGAATGATGGCTGGGATCATAAATGTCTTCTTTGATCTCGACTTCGATGTCTTCGTTAGTGGGAAATAGGTGAGAATTGCAGTATGCCGTTGAGATATAAACAAAGCGATCCAAACTTGGGCAAGTCAGAGCAATGTCTACCATCCTTTCACTGGCTCTGATAATCACATCTGATAGTGCACCGAGGGGCTTCCCGAGATTTATAGAGGAAGCTGAGTGAATGATAACATTGACCTCTTGTCGAAGTGTGCTTAGTTCGTCCTGAGAAAGCCCTAGGTCGGGTGAGAGGATGTCACCATTTATGGCTGTGATGCGATTGGTGCTAAGAAGTTTTTCGACTGTTGCCAGTGATAGCGATTCTGTCCATTTTAATCGAAGTTTTCTATAGATCGAATTGTCAATCATTTCTCCCAAGGTTTACGCCTGAGCTTGAAGCTGGACTAACCCTATACCTCCTCTACACAGCATATATACGCGACACACGGATGTTTGTGTGAGCAAGCGATATACAATCGCAGTCCCAAGAAAGCCAGTTCCTCCTGTAATGAAGATGGTCTTATCATTGTAATAGTCCCACATTTTGAATATGAAATCAGATATCGCACAGAACCTTGTAGATGTAGACTTTATTTAACTTGGGAGGTATCACACCTCGTCATCTTACGACTTCTACCTATGGTATGTTGTACTACGTAGATATAGGTGATCTGCAGACCATTGCCTGGAAAAACCCCAACCACTATGTATGCATAGGTTGTACAACATAGCACCACCTAGTAGGGATATCACTTTCCCTCCCTGGTATTATCGTTCGATTGCTAGGTCTAGCTACTCCACGTCATCTTCCAAGAAGACCCCTGTCATACGGAGTACATAGTTCTTCAATCAAGAGAGTTGACCACAAGAAGTGCATGAACTTTCTAAGATATCACTTGATACTCTCCGCGTCGTGTAACGTCACTGAAATGGTTAAGTTATGGCGTAGAACAAATGCCGATCATAATATCCCCCTTGTATTTCCTATTTCCCCAGAAACATACTTCGTCTGTAGGGAGTCATGCTGGATAGAAACTTGATCTTTGACTAAAGGCTGATCATGATGCCTTCGCTGCATCGTTTGTCCTCAGGATGCAGATAATAGGTAAGTACAGTCGCAGCATCTAGAGAATAATGACTATGATGCGTGTCACCCGCGGCAAGATAGAGGTATATTCTGGGACTTCTAACGCGGCTGTGGACATTAGGCTATCGACCTCTTTGACGAGCTACTCCTGCCATCTGGGATTCCTGACAAGCAGCATTATCGCGTACGAGATGGTGTTTGCTGTTGTTTCGAAGCCGGCTGCTGTAATTAGAAAGAGGTTGCCGTTCAATTCCTCCTCGCTAAGGCTGTCCTCGGTATTTTCTTGTTCCACTGTGCTTGAAGCAGTTGGCTCATGCTATTGCTTTGGGTTGTCTTGTGTTTGAAAGTATATTGACGCTCTTGATGGAGTAAGTGCTTAGTATGCATCGAGGACTCGCGCTTTTTAATGCCTAGCTGCTTCAACTTTTGATGCCCTGGGAACCAAAATGGCCAGTTCAAAAGGACACTATTTGGAATAACTATCGACCCAGTGACAGCGCCCATGACCACCTTGGAGGCTTCAATATATGTCGTTTCGCACCCTGGCTCGAGTTTCTTGAAATCTTGACCCCTCCATGCAACTTTTGCGCCCATACCGGCCTCGACTATAGCATATGAATTATCACCCGCTTGGTCATATCAAGTAACTCATTAGACTCCGCGAAGCCCCGCTCCTTCTCGGAAGCAGCGAGAAGAAGCTCATCCAGCATACCCGTAGTGTGACATACGGCTGCCTCAATTACACTCTTCGTGACAACCTTGGGCTGCTTCGCCCGTATGTTGCAGAACCTCCGAAGCGATGACCTGGTCGGCGGTCCAGAGTTCTAAAGCCCCCCACAACCAGCAAGCAAAAATGACCTATCGTCGCCTTGCGGGGCTGCATATTCATCGAACGGGCGACGCTTTTCATGGAATTCCCAGCCATAGATCACCAGCATGAGACGGTTCCAGATCCGCGTGGGGAGACTACGCCGCAACCATGCACGTAAAGGGATAGATGTCAATACCTAGATTATGTTGTTTTGACTGACCGGGTAGACCAGAAACGGTGGGCCGATCCTTCTTGCATGGGCATGATTTCTCTCCTTAGAGCGTCGCTGGGAGGAATAGTTTTAAACTTTAGAACAGCCTTAGCCACAACTGCAAGAATTATGGTTAGGGCAAGCTAGCGCCCTGTGATACGGCAGTCTATTACTGCTAGTAAGTTAGTTCAGATTTTGTGTCTAGTATGGTTTATAATATGAGTATTATGTACTAACCTTCTATTATACATACCCAGGCCAGCTTACATGTTTAACCCATTTTCACTGTGCTATAACCTTACGGCTAATTTATTTTATCATTCTAGCTCCAAAATAATAAGGAAATATCTAAAAGAAGTGATATCTAAAAAAAAAAATACCCAAGATATCTTACGAGACTATAAAAAAGAATCAAAATTTATTATGGGAAATTCTGAAGTAACGCACAGGTGATAGTATACGCTGTACCTGGGGCACTGACAAATATCCGTGAGACCGAGTTCAGTGATGCGCTTGATGGTGATATAATCAGTGACTAACAAGGATAGGCATATCTTCAGGCCATTGTTTACCAGAGAGTATCACGAAGTTTCTCATTTTCGACGGGAGAAGCTCTCCAAAATATAACGCCCGTGTGCGCAAGCAGATCAAACACTCAAGATCCAAGTTCCATTTCAATCTACAAATTGCCTTCTGTCAACTTGGCACTAGTGTTTATCAATTGTTCCAGCTGAAAAGCATACCTGGAAATTGTTTGATACTACTAAGTCTAGCGGGTAAACAAAGTTCATTTAAAATCCCGTAATCTTCAGGGTTTGTATCGGCGAGCGTTGGGTTGCACTGGCGTACTTTTGTACAAGTCAATCAACTCGACTGGTTGGAGGGTTGCGATAGTGAGGAAATAAGTCAAGGCCCTTGCAATCTATTAGACGTCCCCAATGAAGAGGATCCGAGATAATCAGGGGAAGTGATGATTTTGATAAACTGGGACTTGCGGCCTAAAGCCTTGCAACTCCCCCACTCTGAGATAACATCCAACTCTTACGCCTATTGCTATACTAAATGAACGCTGACTGAGACTCTTACCTCCAAATATAGACATGAAGTCATGGCGATGCTTTTGGTAAAATGGTCCGGGTACATTTTCATTCAAGTTCGGAGTTTCTGATATTTTGTTCGACCTATATATTTCAACCCCCGCCTTTCCATAGCTTTGCTTTGCTGACATAGAACAAATATTTCATCAAAACATGGCAACTACAGTATTCTGCCTATTTGTACTGGTAGCTACTGGTCTTTATGGCTTGGGCCGAGTTGTGTACAATGTTTTCTTCCACCCACTGCGAAAATTCCCAGGGCCTTGGATGGCCGGGGCTACGTCGAGTTGGAAAGCATATAATGAAGTTATCAGACAACAGTCGGCGGTTCATGAGCTCTTTGGTCTCCATAAAGAATATGGTACGAACAAGTTTGGATTATGAGACATTTTCTTCTAACATTCCTAATAGGTGATATTGTCCGCGTTGCTCCGAACGAGGTGAGTCGTGAATGATCCAGTCTACACTGCCCTATCTGGGTTATAGGGCTCAGATAGGTCTATCACTCACATGTCACAGCTCCATTTCGGAACCCCCAGTGCGTTTCACGATATATACCATAGCAGCAAAAGGTGGGACAAGGACACGGGACTTTACCGAACCCCCGGGGTTTCATCCGGATCCTTCACATTTTTGAAGTATGCCCAGGCAAAGGAACGACGGGAGGTGATTCTTCCCATTTTCTCCAAGAAAGCCATCAATAGCCTTGAGCATCTCGTCTGGCGAAATGTGAGTGTATTGCTTCACTTCTATATCTCAATCATCGCTAATCACCGATTCCCAGGCAAATCGCCTTGCATCTTCCATCGCCAAAGCCAATGCATCAAAAAGGTCTGTTGACCTACTCTACGCATTCCGATCCTATACCCTCGACACCATAATGTGCTTCACATTCGGCAACTGCATAAACGCCCTCGATGCACCGGCATTCAGCGACCCTTTGATTCTAGCCATGGATGCCAGCCTTCGTATGCTGCCATTCATGAAGAACTTCCCTATGATCCGAGATCTCATCTTTGCCGTGCCACCGGCCCTGGTCATGCGTCTCATTCCCAACGCCCAGAAACTAGCACCACGCCTGTACCAGGTCCGGGATCTGGTCCAGCAACAGCTTCAAGTCGTACTAAACTGCCCTTCAAAGCTTGATGATGTGCCCCACGAGACCCTCTTTCACCGCATGCTTGACCCAGAATCATACCGGAGCAAGGAAGTCCTAAATATGACAGAGCTACACGACGAAGGGTTCACACTTATCTTCGCAGGCTCCAACACAGTAGCTGACACATTGCTTATGGGTCATTGGCACGCAATGCAAAACCAGAACTTGCTATCCCAACTGCGAAGCGAGATCCTTAGTGTCTGGCCAGACATCGAAAAACAGCCATCCCTGACAGATCTCGAGACCCTACCACTCCTCACAGCAACCATCAAAGAATCCCTCCGTTTTATTCCGTCTGGAGTATCGTTAACGCGCGTCGTACCTCCAGGGGGCGCTGCCATAGCAGGACAGCAGATCCCCGGCGGGACGGTGGTTGGGATGGCTATTTTACACGTGCACCAGAACGCCGAAGTGTGGGGTAAGGATGCGCTTGTGTTCCGACCGGAACGGTGGCTGGAGAGCGCGGAGCAGGCAAGCTCTCAGAACGGGAAGAGTGAATTGGATCACTGGCTCGTTCCGTTTAGTCGGGGGCCGCGCATGTGCTTTGGTATGAACTTGGCTTGGGCGGAGATGTATATCGCTTTTGCGACTATGATTAGGCGCTTTGATTTGACTATTAATGGCACCACGGAGGAGGATATGAAATGGCGGGAGTGTATTGCGGCATATTATCCTAACAGGCACTTGCATGCGTGGTGCCGCCCGATTGGGTCTGGGAATATGAAGTGAAGAGGTGTTTATATAACTTTGGGGTATGAGGATCGGACTTTAGTATCTCTAAACAAGCAGGGGTCATAGTTGGGGCTTGGGAAATTGGAAATTATACCAGATATAGTGCAGTGTTGACAATAATTACTACTCTACGTACACGAACACAATATTTGCATCGGGACATAGCCTGTACTTAAAGGCTTGAAGCACCCGTTTCTCCTTAAGGATCAGCCCTCACTGAAAATACACGTAAACACTATTGAGGATATGTACTCGTTGTATTAGCTCTATCTATAAAGTGTATGATTGTCTGCACATGCAATTGGGAAGATTATGCGTGGCTAGATGTACAAATACAAACTTTTTAAAGGTGAGAACAGTTTCTGTGCTCTAAAATATAGCCTGAATGCAGCCTAGGGATGAGAATATTGTTCAAGGCTCATCAGATAAAAAATAATGCGCTGCTCATGCAATATGGGAATGTCGATTAAATCACATACTATGAATATCTTAGCGAGTTTTCACTACCCCGAGTGGCTATCATGAATCTATGGGATGAACAGGTAGAGTGCTTCTTTCTTGTAGCGCTCCTAGGCCTTGCCGTACTTTCTATGGCATCTTTGTACCTTGGCATTCAATTTATGCCAGTCTTTGTGAATCTTTTCGGACTCCAGGGGCTGATTCTTTTCTTAATTTTATATCTTGGCCTCCGGATCTACTGGTGTTTCTAGTTCACTGATAGTGCCATAGAATAGAGTCAGGGGTAATTCTAATTAGTCTCCGGGGGAAAGACAGCAAAAACAATGAGGAATATTATAAAGTCCGATGTATTGATTGGTGATGTTTTAGATTCTCGGTGTCAAGGAGTACTCCGCACAGAGTCACAACGCAATATAATAGAACCTAGATAGACCAATATATTCATATTGTCACTAATTCTACTTTGATGAGCTTGGATTCTTGCACCTGCTCCGGGCGGAGCGGTTGAAGTTCCGAATGAGTGATGCTTACTTTGTCGCTTGATGCTTTGCTGTACATGTTCCTTCTAGCTGCATCTTCTGCTCGAAGATCACGCCCAGTAGCTTGAAAGCACTGGGCAATTCCGCCGTCTTGCTGCTTATTATAGTCTGGCCGAGGTCTGGGTGAGGTGGACGATTTCTGTTTCCTCCGGTTCAGAATAACGGATATTTATTCCAGCCTCTGCTCGAGTGGGCTAGATCAAGCCAAAAGGCACTTATGGAGCAAGGCCTTTCTCATGCCGTAGCTCCATTAAATGAGAGCGATCCAGGCATCGTGCCCCAACATGATAGCACACCTCGCAGATATCAAAGTCCCCTCCATGACAAGTGGCGCAATGGGAGAAAGCCTTACCCTTCAATACATAAACCGTGCAAACATCACAACACACATTCACGTCCTCTAGAGAGGTGGCTTGAACCACTGAGTCAACTGTCATTTGGGAGCTTGTCTCAGAAAATGTGTCTAGGATTTTTACAACATCAAATCTCTTGCGCAGTGTAGCGTCAGACAGTACTGTGCGGCCAAACTTGTCTTGGGCCTCGCAATCGACACCGTCGCTTTTCAGAAGTGTGAGAACTGATTGCAAATGACCATGGGTTGCTGCAATATGTAGAGGTGTTCGGCCATACCGATCGGGTCGATGGATGTTCCTGATCTTGGTTGAGGTAAAAAGAGCTGTCAGATTGGTGTATCTGTTCTCGGATGCTGCATGGGAAAATACACTGCGACCATCATTGTCCTCAGAGTTAATATCAGCGCCATTCTCTAGGAGGAGCTGGACCACTTGTATCCTCGGACAGGCTGCTGCGCAATGTAGTGCGGTATGACCCCTGTAGTCTTTTATTTCTAATTCCACACCGTCAGTGTTGAGCAGCGTGAGAATTGGTTGCAAATGACCTCGGGTTGCAGCAACATGTAGAGGTGTTCGGCCATACCGATCGGGTTGATGGATGTTCCTGATCTTGGTCGAAGTAAAAAGCGCAATCAGATTGGTGTGTTCGTCCTCCGAGGCTGCATGGAAAAACATACTGCGGCCATCATTGTCCTCAGAGTTAACATCTGCGCCATTCTCTAGGAGGAGCTGGATCGCTTTTTCTGTGCTCCAACCCATTGCTGCAAAACTCAGTGCGGTCTGACCCTTGGAGTTTTTGGTTTCCAATTCAACACCCCACTTCAGCAAAACTTGTATTGCCGACGTCTGGCCTTCGACTGATGCCCACATGAGTGGTGTCCTATCCCCGTAATAGAGATTATTAGGGTCAGCACCTTTGTCTAGGAGAAACTGAACTATTGCCTCATTCCCAAACTCCGCTGCGACTGAGATTGAGGCATCCAATTCAATATCCTGGGGATTAGCATCCAGATCCCAGTCAAGAAAAAGCTGCACCAGATTTAAATGATCGCATCGAGCGGCGTGAAACAATGGAGTGTGACCCTCGTGATCTTTCGAGTGTGCGCTAATCCCTTGCTCTAAAAGGAGACGGGTAACCTTCTCTGATCCACCCCTGGCAGAAACATGAAGTAGCAACTGTCCATTTTCGAAAGAAGACAGCAAATCACTATTTTCTTCGATTAATAACTGGACTGCGCGTTCGCAACCTTGATAAATTGGGAACACTAGGGGTGCTATCCCTTCGCTATCTTTGATGTTTGGATCTGCGCCATGTGATAGGAGTAAAGTTATAGAATCTAGGCGGTTATGTTCCATTGCCCATGATAAAGGGGTCCTTTCAGCAGCATCCACGCAGTCCACTGAACTGCCAAAAGAAATCAACTTTTGGGCCACATCAGGTAATTCAAAGTAAGCCGCAAGATGAAGACCTGTGGCAATCTGCGCGGTGCTTAGTGAATATTTATATCCCTCAGATTCCATATGGACTGAGTTGTATTGGTCATCGTCGTCGCTATACTGGGGAATAGATAACATGAACTGCATACAGGAGTTGACTTTCGGTGTATCTAGCAGCAGTGTAATGATGGCTTCCTCGCTTTGAGGTTGTTCCCCGTCCGCTTCGCACTCTCGGATGTGAGTACCCCAGAAAGCGGCTGCATAAGTTCCAAAAGGACAGTGTTCCCGGCGCGATATGAAATCTTCTACCGTTTGGCAATGTCCTGATTTGAAAATATCACATGACAGATATGCCACGCAGATGCTGCCGATATCATAGTTCGCGTTTGGGAACCAGGTTGATCGGTTGCACTGGAAGAATTCCTGGGTTGTATAATGCACCAGTCGAGTGACTAGTAGATAGGCGGGGGTCTTCATGAGTTGATGGAAAGAGTCATCTCCGTGGAAAAAGGATGGAAGCAGTAAAGGAGTAATGGGAAAGCTCATAGGATTGAAAATCTCTGATAGATGACTGTCAATGCGAAGATAGAGAGAGAGAGAAGATATCTAGCACTGAAGCAGATCCTAACAATTGAGGCCCACGGATATGAGCAGACCTTAGGCGGCCACGCACCCATACAGAGCAGACGATATCACCACAGCGTACTTTCATAGGATATCTAATATAACCCATACAGACAAAGAGAGCACTAACAAACACTGTTTCAGTATAACTATATATTCATTGATAGTACTCTAAAAGAAAGCAAATATGTTTCCCAAACCTGGAAAGTCACAAATAAGTCACATGGCGATTTAGACAGTAACCCTGTTGGCCTTCAAATACTCATAATCCGGCATGGAATCTCGGGTAGCCTTCTCAAGCATTTCGGCAACCTCATCCCCAAACTCGACACGCCACTTAGTAACCTCTGCATCGATATCAACTGACGCAGGAGCCTTATCCTTCACAACACCAGTAGAGTCCTCTAAAGTTGACAACATGATGGAAGCAGCAACCTTATGCATCTCCACCTCCTCAGGATTACCCATGTTCGCATTCTCAGGCGCCCAGTTCTCAGACTTCTTCTCATTGCCATTCCACTCAAACTGCATGGACGCGGTGTCCAGGCCAGCCCTCTCACAGAACTTAACCACTGCACCACGGTTATGGATGATATCATGTGCATCGATGACCAAAGGCGTGACAGGCTCATCCGGCTGCTCAAGGCACCAATCAAACAACTTCCGCGTCCATTTCATGGTCATATTTGTGACCGTCGCACCCCTCATACCATCGTCATCAATGAATCCGACCTTAGATAACTTGAGCATAGCCCGGTACATCGATGCCCATGCTAGTGCCGGGTGACGGATGATGAAGACTATCTGCCAGGTGCGCAGGTATTCGTCTGACATGACGGTTTTGTTATTGGCCGAGAAAGTCTGCGAGGGCCCGTATCGTTCTGGCGTGGATACGTTGAACTCTTTCAAGTGGTCGGGGCTTTCAGTGCCGTTGACGGTGCTCATGAAATTGCCCGGGTTGAGGAACCAGAAGGCATGTTCTTTGGCGAACATTATCTTGTTCTCGGCGCTTGCTCGGGTGGAGTAGGCTTCTATTTCGTCGAAGCCTTGTTGGATGGCGGCTTTGGTTTCGTTCTTCGCCTCTGTTGTCCATTCCTCTAGCGGCTTGTCTAAGCGACCGTCCCGGCCAGTTGTCATGAAGGCATCGTAGAAGAAGTAGCCGCCTTTTGGGCTGGTGAGGACATTGGGTTGGTTGGGGATGTTGAGGATTTTCAGGAGTAGATTTGAGGCAGTGCGGGGTACACTGACGAGGAGGACCCGGTGTGGTTGTTTATTATTTTCAGTGATGGACATTGTGTCTTTTGGCTTGATAAACGTGATATAAGAATTTGGAGGCTGATAATTAAGCTTAACCTGCTATGAGGCAATGAGCGTGAAAATAGATGGCTACATTCTGGAGTTAGATGGCGTGATCTCACTTAAATAGATTCAACTTCTGTCCAAGCGCAAGATCAGCCGTCCTTAGATTCAAAAATTTCTGGCTGCTTTCTGCATGGAAGTGGGTCGATTTCTAACATCTATACGAAGTAGCGTGGATTTGAATTCGGTGTTTTCCCAATGGGGTCGGAGTCGGTATAAACCGCTCTGATCGGGGTTTTTCGCTGTTTATCAAGACCGAAGAGGAGTCAATGAAGTTCTTTATTGGACTGCACTAGTGATCGGCGGCAAAAACTACCATGTATGTCTCAGCCCGTCGGCCGTCGGATCAGACCTTCCGAGGTCAGGGGCAGCCTTGGAATTCCTAAGGTGATTTGTGATGTATCATCGACAAGGTTGAGTCGATGATCTTTTCCCTTTTGTCATATGTGCATGTGCTATGGTCGACTGAAACATGGAGTATGTAGGTCTAGAATGAAGGCGGGATATCAGGAGTGAAGCTAGATTTGATGGGAGATATATATATGACTCTCCAAGCTAATCTTAACAGCACCGATGCCATGAGGACCCGAGGACAGCACAGACATTGAGCAATACATAAACTGCCAACCATCTGATGCCTGTGACTTCTAAAGTCTTTCGCAGAGACACTAAATTAACAAAATAAAAAGTACACTTCCGCAAGATAAGTAAAGCGAAACTAGATCGTACTCAACGTACTTTTTAACGAGTTGAAAAATCGGAATCACTGCTCTCCGCCTCCGCCTTGGCAAGACTCTGCTCCTTCGTGAGTGTCGGGTTACGAATGACCAGGGCAAAGGCAATCAAAGGGACTGTCAAGCAGATACCCGTGATGCACAGCAGACGCTGCGTCTTCTGATAGGCTAGAATGACATTGTCTCGGTCGGGCGTACCCACAGGGTTGACGGCAGCAAACGCAAGAGGCTGGGCGTAGACATACGCAGCGAGGGTTTCATTGCCGAGTCTGTAGTTTAGTTCAGAAGGCAAGACTTGGTTCCAAATCGCACCAGAAATTGTGTTTCCTAGTGCGCTACCAATGTTGTAGGCGGCGAGGTAAAGACCAGTTATGACAGCGAGATCTATGGAATTGTTAGTCCATGAGTTTTTTTTTTGGTGAGGCAAAGTCTGCTGAGGAATACTAACGTTCGTGTTTAGACGCAACCTGGATACTGGCTTGAGCTGGGTAAGGGAACATTCCACCAGCTGACACTTTTGTTAGATATATTCAATAAAAGATGGAGCGCAGTTGATAACTCACCAATACCTAGCAGAACTTGCGCACCGATGACACCAGAATGACTGGAGCTCGCAGCGCCACCTCGGAAATATATGAGGATTCCGAACGCAACCATGAAGAGGAGGGTTCCGGCCACGATGAAGGGCTTCAATTGGCGAACCTTCATGACGATGAGGCCGAGGATAACTCCTGTGATAACGGACACAAAACTGTAAAGAGATGTGATCCGAGTCGCACTGGAAACTGATTCATCGAAGCTGACGAAAAGCACAGTGTATAGGAAATCACCTTGCAGATACCACGCTGAAGAAGTGTTAGATCTCGAGCATTAATGGTCTCCTAAGAAACGTACCAGTGTTGAGCATGACAGGGATTCCGAGGGCGCCCCAGACAGCACGGTCTTTGAGAAGCTAGAGCCGAAGCGAGTCAGTAAAAATCATAAAGGTGACTTCAATGATTTGACTTACGTTGAATGGCAGCATCGGGTGTTTGCAGGTTCTCTCCCAGAAAATCCAGACCGGGATGAGCAAAACGCCTATGACAAGTGGCGCAATTACCTTTGCTGTTTTCCATTGTGTACTTACACCTCCGGCGAGAGTGAACGGAACAAGGATACACGCCAACATGGCAATCAACAGAATGTTGCCGACAATATCCAGATGCCAGAACAGTTCTACAACCAGTTGTCTTTTTCCCATGACCTGGAGGGAGCTCTTGTACGATTCAAGGGCCCCTGACTTCTTTGCGCGTCGCTGGACGACGAGAAGAACTCCAATAAGAGGGAGAGCACACACAGGATAGATGATAGCAAACATGCCAATGCCCCATTGCCATGTGGTGACTTTGAGAACGGCGGATGTCAAGTTGCCGCTGATCCACGTATTTATCTAGAGAAGTTCCAGTGTGTTAGTAGCTTGCGACTGGTGGGTGAGAACATATGTAGTACTCACGATAAACGGCGTGGCCGGAATATAGGAGAAAAGGAGACGGGATCGGCTAGAAGTCACATCGGCGATTAGGACTTCAACCAGAAGCATAATAATAGTGTATCCAATCTAGATGATATTAGATGCAGATCAAGATAAGAGTTCCTGGGCGCATGTCTTACCTGGTAGATAACGGCTCCCGCGGCGAAACCTTCCACACTCGTTGCGCATGCTTCCACAATAGTACCCACGGTATAAAAGAGGATCGAGACGAGGATAAGTTCCACTCTGCCGAATACGTCTGCAACCTTTGCCGCAGTAGGCTATTAAGGGAAGGTCAGCCGCTGTAATAGATTGTTGGTCTGTGGATATCGGTACCTGTGCTGCAGCAGCGATGACGGCTCGGAGAACATTGATAGTCGCAAGAAGACTGTGCTGACCGTAACTTTGAGTTGCATAGGGCTGTCCAAAACATGAGGTGTTAGTATGCTTTATCCTCGTCGACACGTCTTGACGTCAGAACTGCGAGATACGTACCTGGTATGTATAGCGAACAGTTCCATCCAACCCATATACATAGGCGATCAGGAAAATAGCGAAAAAGAGACATATCCGATCGGACAATCGGAAGTGCGATGTAATAATTTCGATGCGACGAACACCTGGACTGCCTTGACCCATCACACTCACAGGCTCACGCAGCGAGACGGCTTCATTGCGGGGATTCTTCGAGTCTCCACTGACGCGGTGATCAACGTTCTCATTAACGAGCGACATGATTATGGTACAGAATGAGATCTCACTCAGATCACCTATGTAGAGAAGAAGAAGAACACAGCCGAAAAAAACAGAGAAAAGATGATTGCCAAGAGGAAAAGTCTGAGATAAAACCGCTCACTCAATCTTATCAGATGGTCCAACCTTAGTGGCGTTGCGCGCTAGAGGCGTTTGTCTAAGAAAACAGCCACTCGCGAGGCTTAGATGCGCCCCCACCTCGTATCTAGCCATGGCTCGGGGTTATTTTGTTGACTTGGATCTCGCTCTAGACTTGCCTGGTGTCCTTTATAGCTAGGTTTGATCCGTGGAGACTGGCATTCTATCGGGTGACTTCCTGTTCTAGCATCTCGGCAACGTACATTTATATCTATAATTGAGGATAAAGGTCACGGTTGAGCGACTAACATCACAATATACATAAGAACAGGGCCATATCAGACATGTAGGAAACGACTCAAGTTTCACAAAAATATACAAGTCGAAAAAAAAAAACCAGTGATCCCTGAAGGTACCCGCCTATGGGAGTCGATTACATAATGTTTCTCGGCCGGACCCGCCGGGAACGTGGAAAACCTGCCCGCATGGCCCCACGCGTCAACTGGTTCATCTTGCTTGGCTATCACAGATTCAGGTTTTATTAAACTGATTGATTTAACCATGACCGGGCCTCTGTCAATATTTCCACTGAAGCTTTGATTGATGATTATCCCGTATCTTCGCGGCGAAAAAAAAGCCCACAACATCTTAGTAGGCTGGCACAGACATGCAAGGGATTTTATCGCCACTAATTTGAAACTATGTGGATTCTACAAAGAGCACAAACCACGGGTAATATTGTAGGATACTTAAGCTTATACGTGCGAGGAGGAACATGAAGCGAAGTTGGATCACTGCAACAAGACTTGGTTATAAGTATTGCCTGGAGATTGAAGCAAATTACTCCTATATTTGAGGGTATATATCACTATCAAAGTCGTGCCTTGAAGGAAGTTTGGAGTCCGACCACCGAAGGCAAGCTATCCTGACTGAGACGGTTCATCTCGGGATCATAAAGCGACTCTGTCTTGACAGTTGCCCTGATGCGCTTTCCAAAGTACTCGATCTCCACTGCCTCGCCTCCACTGACACCCCCAGGAAGCCAGGCATAGGCAATTGGTTTTCGAATTGTATACCCAAATGCAGCGGTGGTTACATAGCCCGCCGCCTTTCCCTTGTAGAAGACAGGCTCCTTGCCAAGAATCATCGAGCGACCATCATCAACGGTCAAAGCCCGCAGTCGCCGCGAAGGTGCGTGGTTAGAAAGGCGTTGAAGGGCGGCTTTTCCGACGAAGTCGTCTTTCTTATTTGCGTCCACGGCATAGGCAACACCAGCCTCGAACGGATCGTGCTCTGTCGTCATATCCACGCCGTAGGTCCGGTACCCCTTCTCGAGGCGCATTGAGTTGAATGCACTGCGGCCTCCAGCAATTAGTCCGTGCAGCTTGCCGGCTTGCCAAATTGTGTCCCATAGGCGTTGGCCGTACTCGGCGCTGGTTTGGATTTCCCAGCCTAGTTCGCCGACGTAAGACTTTCGGATCATTGTAACTGGGATACCCGCGAGAACTGTTTTCTTCAAACTGAAGTAGGGAAGTCCTTTGTTCGAAACTTCGACCGTGCTGATTCTAGCGATGACATCCCGGGCTCGAGGACCCCAGAGTCCGATGCAGCATGTGCTGCCCGTGATATCGCGGACTTGGATCCATTGCCCGGGGGTGTTTAGTTGCTGGACTCGAGCTTCTCGGGTAAGATATGCCAGATCTGTTGCAGTGTTCGCTCCAATTTGGAACATGTCATCGTCGAGTCGTAATACAAAGAGGTCACCCCGAATGCCACCGTGCTCATTCAGGAGGAGAGTATAAGTAACGGTCCCTGGTTTGGTGGTCATATCACTTGTGGTTAGCCGCTGAAGAAGACCAACTGCTCCAGGACCGCACACTTCGAATCGATGGAAAGCAGTCATGTCAAACATAGCAACCGCATTCCGCGTCTTCCACGCCTCGGCAGCAGAGATAGGCGAATGAACCTGCGCCGACCAGGCATCACGCTCAACAGGCTTCCATGATGGCGGGAGAGACTTTACGAGATCTTTGTTTGCCTCATACCACCACGGCCGCTCCCAGCCTCCAGTCTCAAGGAAGAAAGCCCCCAACTCGCGTTGGCGGGAGTAGAATGGACTTACACGCAAATTGCGAGGTGACATCCGCTGCTGAAGAGGGTGGATAACGTCGTATATTTCGACGAAGTTCTGCTGCCCGGTCTCTGTCACGTATTCTCGATTGACTTGGACTTCTTCGAAGCGGGATAGCTCACATTCAGAGACGTCGATCTCTGATCGGCCGGTTGTGAGTATTTGTGCGAGAGCTCGGGCGACGCCTGCTGAGTGTGTAACCCATACAGCCTCGGCTACGTAGAAGCCGTCGAGGTGGGATGGTTGGCCGAGGATTGGACCACCGTCAGGTGTGAAGGAAAAGATACCATTGAAGCCATCCGCAATCTCTGTGTCCTGAAGAGCGGGGAGGAGCTTTTGAGACTCTTTCCAAGCTGGGTCAAAGTCTTCGGTTGTGAAATCGAGGCGAGATGGCATGTTTTGTTCATCAACATCTTTAGGAGTGACCCCTAGTGATGACGCAACGACGGGCATTGGACGGTGTCCGTAGTATCCAATGCCGTACTGCCCGCCATGTTCGCGGTAGTAAAGACCCTTATCCTGGTGCCGGAGGATTGGAAGTGTGGCATTTAGTCCATTGGGCAATGTGTTGATACCTCGCCCAGCGAGAGCGGGCACTGCCGTAGTCTTTGCATACTGGTGTGCCAGCGGGAGCAAAGGAATATCCACGCCAACCATGGCTCCCAATTCCACACCCCAGAACCCAGCGCAAGAAACAACGATGTCTGCCGGGATAATGCCACTTGGAGTACTGACTCCGGTAACACGACGGCCATCCTGCTCAATTCCCGTCACGGGAGTATGTCCCAGATAATGAACACCGGCCTTGCTTGTCCGTTCAATGAGCAGCTGTGTTGCTCGGGCTGCTAGTGCGAGACCATCGGTGGGAATGTGCAGACCGCCCAACACCATATCGTTGTTCAGATGAGGATATATCTTGAAGCACTCCTCGGCGCTCACTAGCCGGGCCTCAATCCCCCACGATGAGGCGTATCCATGTTTCCGCTTCAAATCTTCCAGTCGTGCGGGAGTGGTTGCTACCTCGAGACCACCCACTTGGTTGAAGCATTTGTGTCCATCCTTCTCTATCGACAGGAACTTCTCGACTGTGTATCGTGCGAAATGTGTCATTGTCTTGGAGGGGCTCGTCTGGAATACGAGGCCGGGGGCGTGTGACGTCGATCCGCCCGGCATGTGCAACGGGCCCTGCTCGACGACAGTGATATTCTTCCATCCTCGAGAGACCAGCTCGTCGGCGAGGTTGGTACCTACGATACCGGCTCCAATGATGACAACACGTGAAAGGGACATTATTATATGATAGTTAATACACCCATTTGAAAGAAGGCATTCGTTCTATTTGTATATTCACATACTTGATAATTCGTACAATGTGTGACCTTCTCGTACACATATCCCCGCACCCCGCAGAGGCGTGGGATAATTAAATAGTGTATCGTGAAGCTAAAGATAAAGATGTTACGCCCCGCACGGGTTCCGGCGATGTAAAGCCGAGAATGCCAGTAACACGGGTGCCATTTTGGAGGGTTCGGGATATATCCTTGGCTCTACGTTGATATAGATAGTGAAGCTCAGGTCAATCATAATCCAACCAGCTTGATGTGGCGGGTGTTATGGATAACATTTCCTTTTTAGGCCGGCTCGTAAATATAGTGTGAGGGGGAGATAGTTTCCTGAAGTAGGAGTTTTGCTATTATCCACAGTGTGTAGCTGCCATAATCAACAAAGCTGTCGAAACATATCTATTCTCACCAGATTATTCCACTTTTCTATTGAACTATATTGTACAGACTTTGGGCCGCGACTTAATTTATGGGCTTGCGGAGGTCTAGTGGAAACTATGACAACAAATACAACGTATTTTAGCACTAGACCACACACAAAAACCTCAGTACTTGTATGGTGCCTAGAGTCCTGATATATTAGACAGAAACCTATGGTGGAAATGAATATTAAAACCACTCAGGTCAGGCTCAGGGTCAGTGAGGTTGCTCAGGTGGAAGTTCATCCAGCTTATGTAACAGGGGCATGCTCAGTCTTACTGAAAAAGCGGCAAGGGGGTGAGCACTAAAACGGAATGGGAAAACCATCTCACACAGCTCAAAATCCGATGTAGCAGTATGAACCGGATTTTAGGCAGTCGCGAATTTCCCGATCGGGGTGCCGCTTTATTTTCCATAGATTACTTAGTGACCACATAATAATTGTACTTGGTATAACTTTGATCGGCTAGCTTAGTGAAAAAGGGGCTCTAGAGCTATCCCGGACTCCCGAGCTCCCGAGTTCCCGAGTTTATCTGCTGAGATCGCCCTCCTGCAAGCCTATCACAACCAACCCATCATGGCAGCCAGGCTTTCCCGAAGCCTGCCACAGGTCAACCGCCATGTTTTCACTAGGTTATCGTCCCGCGCGATACCTCGCGTTGCGAGCCTTAGTGCCCGTACTGGCTTGGGGGCACATCGCAATACCCGGAGCGTCGCGCCTTGGACCTGCCGCGTAAAACAGGCCAATATCGCGCGATTCTCCCATACAGATTCTAGCTCATCGGAACGAGAGGTTGGCATTCTCGACGCTACCGGTTACAAGGGATCGAACGTTACGGAGAAACATTGGATGGGCCACGACGTAGGAGCTGGTACGATCCTACTTGTCAATGTGTCATTGTGGCCTCGCTAACCAGACCAGTGGACGCTTTAATTGAACCGCAAGCTGTTTTGCACTTCGTTGAATTCATCACGTCTGGCATCCTGCCGAACGGGAAGAAGACCGATTTAGCTCTGCTCAATGCAGATGAATTCGCACTATTTATGGCCCCGAGTTCACAGTGGGCGCCTGCGCCTTTCAACACGGCCGATCTCCCAATTGTGCAAAAGGCGATCCAGCGGATCACCGGTCCGGAGGATTTGAGCGGATTGTGCCGAGTTGGGCATAATATTCACTTCCTCAAACGGCGCCTCTGGGGAGGCCTTGCTCCCGTGCCCGCATCGCGATGGCGCGAAAAAGAGCTCAACAACCCGGAGTATTTCGCGATCGCCCATGAATACCTGACCTCCGTGATTGCCGTCTTCGAGTATCTTAATATTCCTCAGATCCAGACTAACATGCGCGACACCTTTAACAAGATATCTGGTGACTTTGGAGAAATGCAAGACGCGTTGAACGCCCGGCGCAAGACCCGAGGCTTTTCTGCTGAGGTCGACCTTACTGCTCTTTGGGAACAATTCATTCGCGCACAGTACGAAGTCATCACCAGCACCGCCCATTCCTGGGTCCTGGCCCACGTTACCGAATTGCGTGAACGGGCATTGGACAGCTTCACTGCGATCCAGACGGAAGGAAGAACCCCAGAGATGGAAGCTTTCACGCAGCGGTGGACTGACCTCATTAACGTCACTTCGATGGCAGATTTCAACATTTGGATGTCCATGGACGGGTACAATGGCTACCATGCGCCCTCTGACATCGTCGCTGGGCTACACAATCCTGACCTAAAGAACCACGACATGAGATCTGGATTTTCCAAGCTCCTGATGGACCGACTCACAAAATGTGTTGAGGCTCAGAACGAGGCTGCGAAAATTCAAGGTCCAAGCGCTACGGAGGGAGACGCGGCCCGCCGCGAGCGCGTTTCCATTAGCACAGTAGTACAGGATGAACTGCGTGAAAAGATACGCGGCCCGACGCCATCGCCGCAGCCACCTGCACAGCCCTGGATCCAGCAACTCCTTCGAGCACAGGAGGCGAGCCTGAGCTTGGACCCGTCGGAGAGAGAAGACTATGGCTTCGGATTGGCAATCTACCGCGCAGCGCACAACGTCTCCGATGAGAAGTGGGACGAGCTGCAGCGGGCCGTGGAAGCTCACTTCTCGACATGGAGTGACGGCGTCCAGCGCGCTGACGAGCTGAAACCACTGCTCAAACTGCATTGGTTTGACGGCAAGGAACTAGGCTTCGACGCAACCAACCCCGTCCAAGCAGCAAGGAAGTTCGTGGACCCTAAATTATCCATTCCAAGCTTCACATGAACCAGGGACTAATGCTTTTCATAGACACTACCAAGAAATCCGGGCCTCGGAGGAGTGGAGCCATAAAGTAGCACCATCTGTTTTCCTTCTTATCGATCACATGGGCGTGGGCTCATATACCGATGACGTATTTACCACCTCCTACACAAAGGACAAAGGCCTCCTCAAAGGTGACTTCCAAGGCCAAGTCCTAGCTGTCGACCCAGACTTCGAGAGTGCCACTGCAAGCGAAAGTGCAGACACGGCCAAGGAAGACCAGGAGGAAGCCGTCACATACCAGGGCCGGATGCGCATCCTGGGTAACCTCGTCTGGAGCGAGCTCTATCCTATGCTCATGCTGCAGTCTGTGGGACTTGAGCATCTCTGGCTGCAGGCGCGGGAACATCCGTTGAAGGTATATACGGGGCCGACCGTGCCCAGTCAAGTTGTGCCGTGGAAGGAACGGAATGCCATCAAGGCCCATATGATGGATAGCTTTGTGGATTTTCTCAAAAAGAAGGATTCCAACCTAGCAGGAAAGGTAGAGGGGCTGAGGAAGGAGGGATCCCTTTGATTTAAGGATCCCATTTTTTGTATATTATATCAATCGAGTCTAAATTCGTGATTGCACTGCTATCAATCCCAATTTTTATTGAGGCCTGATGTGTCAGAGAGAAGAGCAAAAAGCAAGGGGTGACCTCTAAAGCGAAAAGGGAACGCCACGTCGTGCCTAAAACCCGGTATATACAATATATGTTATATACTAACATTCATCCTCAGGCTCCGTGGTAAATTTGGGTTAAAATACCCGTGGACGCCCATACCTAGGTAGGGCCAAGAGGAAAGCACAGTAAGAACGAGCTTTGAATAAGATTTAACATCCAAGCTTTGGAGGATCCAACACATCTGCAGGTTTAAAACAGAGCTAGCTACTTCTAGCAAAGAAGATAGATGATCGTGCAATGAATCTTGTTAGTGAAGCATTGTCATTGGCAGCACATTCCAACATCATAGACGAAAATGGTGCAATCGACATTCTACGGCCTCTGATTGGCCAATGTCACCAACCGATGCAGGGGTATGTTCAATGGAGGCGTTGAGTAAATAAATAAGGTGTATATACTTTCTAGATCTAAGATATATCGATTGCATTGCTCTGTCTACATTCTATCAACCCTTTATGATATAATGGCCAAGGAACAAGTCAACCCCAGACTCTGCGGGGACGTTTTCATGTTCGGCTAGAGCCGATCCGTGGGGGAACAAGGAACAATCCCTGTCTTTGGGACCTTCTTCCTCAAGAAATCTCTCAGCTTCAGAACAGCCATGCTATTATCTGCATTTTTCCATCTCTCATCATGACCCAGCCTGGTACACCTCCCGTCCCCGAGGAGCCTCCCAATGCAATACTGACCGACTCCGGCCCGACAACCGCTCGCGACACCCGAAATGACGACCGAGAAGCATTAGAGCTCCATTCGATCCAAACCCGAGAAGACAATGAGCTGGATTACTCGACCCCATCGGCTTCGTCTGGCGACGAGCATCACATGCCCACACGTCGGACACCGTCTCGAGCCGATTCTCGGCGCTCCCGCAAAGTCCGCAACGGCGTTTGGGGCCGGGTTTGTCGGTTCTGGAATCAACATGTTATTTTGACCGTGCCGCAGAAGAGCAATCGGGATTACTTTGGTATGTTATATATGTTATACTGTAGACACGTTGCTGGCAAGCTGACACCCTCAAAGCCCTAGAAAGAACGTTCCTTGCGTACATCCGCACGTCCACCGTTATCGCTATGCAAGGGGTGCTCGTTGCACAACTTTTCCGTCTACAACGGCCCTTGGAAAAAGTCGATCGCCTGTCGTTCCACGAAGTTGGTATCCCGCTTTCGGTTGCCTGTCACGGTGTGGCTGTTATCGTCGCCTTGGTAGGTGCGATCCGATTCTGGAGACAACAAAATGCTATCGCTCGTGGGAAAGTGTATGCTGGGGGATGGGAATTAAACTCAGTGGGCATTTTAATATTTGCAGTAAGTTCTCTCTAGGATGATGGTCGAACTCTGAATTCTAATCAACCCCCGCAGGTTATTATGGCGACCTTGGTGCTTACTGTTATCATCTTGATCCAAATCGATTTGAGCTCTAGTGCGCTTCCTAATCGAATATTATGGTCGTGATGTCTCGTTCATGATTTTGTCACCCTGACCATATATGCATTTACACGGCGATGGAAAAGGTCACGATGGCTATCTTATTAACTATATATAATTATGATTTCATTCTATGGTCCATATATCTTTGACCTTCATTGCCAACCAAAACCGTCTTTCTTAGAGGTATATCACACTGTCTGCTTTACCTCGGAGCATATCCCTCAATGAGCACCTTCTCCCCCATGGACATGCGGGTTCTCTAGGAAATTCAAAGTCGCATGTTGAGCCAGCTAGTCTCCAATGCCCCACTCTACTTCTGAAGTGACCGCATGTCTCACAACTGCATGTGGGCCGATCCACTGATAGGCACCAGGCGGAACTCGCGCAGTGATGACCCAGGCATATTGATAATCTTCTACGCCACCGCCCGTCTCTGTGGCCTTCGATACTATGTGGCTCAGGTCGAGACGGGCTGCCATTTGCTCGTCAAAGGAATCGAATAAACGACGGAAAGTGGGGATTGGGGTGACCAGTGCGACACTTGAAGCCGGTTGAATCGGTTGCTTGCTGTTCCCCTTAACTCTGTCCGCTGGAGATTCTTCGCCTGGTGTTGTCTGCCTAGATAGCGATGTTTCGCGGGATCACAATCTCCCACTGGTCCTTGACTTCGGCTGGAGACCTAAGGCATCCATGACTATGTATCCAGGGTAGGAACCCAACTGAATAACCAAAACACCTGGGCAATACTCACCCGAAGTTCAAGGTATATATATTTGGTCATTTATTTCCGAGGTGAAAGTGAAGGATGAGGTAAGGTATGAAGGGAGAGGATGATAAATGAAATGATAATAGAGAAGGTAGAGAAAAAAAGCTCAGGGTCAGCGAGATGAGAGGGTAGTTATATCAAGTGGTATTTGATCACTTCCAGTCTTTTCTTCTCCCAATCCTTTGCTCTCTTCGTCATCTCCCTCCTTGTTTTTGCTTCCCCCCACACCCAAGTCCTTTGGGCCAAGTCGAACTTCGGCCACTCCCAGCATCTACTATCTATACTTATCCAAGTTTCACTTTCAATCGCCATCTTTGGTAATGGCGAATCCTATCCCTGTTTATGTAAGTGAACATATTATCTGATTGTTGAGGGCTGCGTCAATTCCACAAATTCCCACCATGATTGTCGCACTTTCCCCATCACATTGTCAGCCGGCTCGAGCCTTCTGATGGCGTCCCCTACGAAGCATGAAGGTTTGCACCACATGGGCATGGTCTGAGCTTGCTATGGCGTGGACCTTTTATTCGACCAGCTTCACCTTTATGAGATACGACTTTCCATCGTCTCACAAGTCACCCCTCTATCCTTGCATCTACCTAAGCAACCAAAACACCAGAACTAACAAGAATACATGGATATAGACTAACTTGTTCTAGATCCAGGTGTTTTCATGTACTGCCAGATCGATGGACATGATGTCGTGAACTGCCATTCAGTGTACCATTTTCTTAGCACCATCCCCACTACTGGGGGAATGGAACCCGGAATGGCTGACCAAGGCACGGCGAGGACTGTTCAGTGCAATATAGACCTCAAGTACCATGCTAATTCATGGCATTTGATCTAGCAGGCTGATACTATCCAGAAGGCCCTTTAATAATCAGTCCTTACGAGGCTCGCTGTTTTCTTCCACAAAGGAAAGAAGGCTACCTTTAATACAGCTGTTTGGAGCCAAACCCAATACCTTCCTCGAATGGGGCACAGCCAATGGGCCCTACCAGCGTTTCAGCGATGGCTTGAAATCTGTTAGCAGACCTGACCTCTTTCTTCCAAGCCCGAAATGGCCTCGTCGCGGCACCCAGTGAGGAATATAGGACAAAGCAAGAACGAGCGCATCAAATAATACTCATTATGTGGATCGCCATGAGATAAGTATTGAGTATGGAATAGACTATTTGATTAGTGAGATAGCGAACCTTGGGGTTTTAACGCCATGCTCTCAATATATAAGAAATGAGAGAGTAATAATTAAAATGAGGAGAGAGAAGGAGACCAAAGCCAGATAGACGAGAAGGTCTTGGGCTCTCAAGTGTTATTTTACTCTCACATCATTCCTCTCATCATTTCCTCTCTTCGTCACTTTATCTTCACAACATTTCTTATCCCCATCCTTTCTTATTTCCATCCTTTCAACTACTCAAACATCAACATTTATCACTACCACCTACCATGGCGGACTCTATTCATCCCCTTGTAAGTGAAATCCTCTTGTTGTTGATAGCTGCTTCTCCCATGGAAGATGGGTCGTCTCAGCTTGCACCCTTACACCCTCAATATTCACCTGCCCACCACGATGGCAATCTGATTATAAAATCAATCGGCATGGCCCTACTGCTCTTGAGCATGGGTGTTTGCATCCTTGGGATGGTTGGATCCTGCTGTCTGGCGTATCATCAAGCCTTCTCTGACCACAACCCCCACCGCTATCCCCGAAGAATGCATATTGTCTGCGCAGCTTCACTTTTGTGGGAGCTACAACTTTCTATTCTTAAACAACCCCTTGTCATGCCATCGTCATCCCCCCAAGCAATCACAACACCAGGGTTATCAAGAATATATGGACATGAATTAACATATCATAGTTGTTCTGCAAGCACTGCGAGGTCAGTGGACATGACGTTGTCTACTGCCATCGTCTTTTTGAAGACTTGACTGCTTTTGCCCAACCCGTTGGCGTCGACACGGGATACCACACCCAGGGCTCGGTGAGAATCCTACCATGCATTCGATGACGGAACAATATACTAATATGTGTGATAACTCAGACTTCTGCCAATGAGAAGCCCTACCGTATTGCGCGCTGGGGTGAAGGAAGAAAGAGGATGCACAAAAAGCAGAGTATGTTTAATACAACTATTCAAGGCTACTGGCGCACAGAAGACTAACTCGTCTAGCGGGAAGCTTCGCTAACGACGCCAACCTCAATCCAGCTGAGGCCCAGAAGCTCGCATTCTACCTCGAACAACACCGACGTTACTGGCACTGGTGCCGTGCTTTGTGGGCCGGGCCGTGCCGGCGGCCAGAGTAGGGCCTCGATGTGATGTGTCCAACAAGCGATTACAACAAGTTACAATGGTGCTATGTGAGAGGGGGGTCAATCTTATCTAATGAGAGGACGGAAATATTCTCACGCCTTTTATGCCTCGATCGACAGAATCGGAGGCGATTACATTGGGAATTATCCTTAGTAGGTCATTCATTTAAACACAAGATGCTGTAAGAATCCTTATAGATGTAGCTCGTAGATTAGCTTATGATTAATAACATAGCTGGGCATAATATGATATTAGCAGGCGTAAAACAGAGGCCATGTCGTCATGGTCTAGTTTATAGTCTAAACCTATCAATTTGGAGTGAGAGAGTATTAATTGAAATGAGCAGAGAGAAGGGATCTCATGGGCTCTCAGATTTTCTTTTACTCTCACCTCACGTCCCTCCATCTTCTCTTCACAGATCCCCGCCTACCCTTTCATTCTTCCCTTCTTTCGTCTCTTGATCCTTTCAACCATTTAATTTTCATCTCTCTGTCGTGATCCTACATAATGGCTGAGCCCATCCCCGTTTATTTAAGTGGAGATATTGTCTCACTGTTGATCGCTGTGTGGTATCCAAATATTTCCACCACTATAGCACTTTCTCAATCATGCAAGCAACCGGTTTAAGCAATATAGTCGCCTTTTCCTTCCTGGGGATGGAATGTTTGCCTCACTGTAGCATGGTTTGTAGGTGGGAGTTGATGCGCTTGACTCCCCGCGGTGGTGGGACCCATTCTTGGTTTTCACTGGAGAAACTGTACTGCACCGTGACCGGAGCTGTGGCCATTTGCTGTTCAATTGGCTTGGTGCCGAAGTCGAATAGCTTGGGCTCGCCATACAGCCACACGTCCCGTTCGTAACCCTCGTCGAAGTATTCTGCCTCGGTGTTGAGGCGTTTGGCGGCCTCCTTCTGCTGCCATTCCATGACTTGGATGTAGTCTTTCTCGTCCTCGACTGTGCAGGCCGTGTCGGTCTCTTCGAGGTTTTTGACGAGGCTTTTTGAGCCGGGCTTCGTCTTTTTGGGACTGGGTTTGGCTGGTTTGGGGCTGACGGGCTTTTTGATTGGGGCGGAAGTAAGAGTTGTGTTAAGTTGAAGTGAGGTGGAATTTTGGTGCAAAGTGGTATAAATAGTCAGGGAAGTGAAACGAAAGTGAGATGAAACCCAGAAAGAATGTAGCGTGAAGATAGGCGGGGGATGGTGTGGTATTAGTTATAGGATTGACTTTGAGGATCGAAAACGTTAAAGATCTCCCTGTAGCCCTCCTCTGTCGTAGCAACCCATCTGTTATCTAGCGGGAATTCATTCCCATGGGTCTTCGCCAGGGAGATCGGGCTCTAGGTGCTCTCTTCAACGTCGCATATACCAACCGTAACTATTGCTAACCGCGATTGGTGGTCCCAGCCTAAAGGGGTCCGCTCTCCCATCTCAATTCATGTAGTAAACAAAACACCCTGCCCCATCGCAATTATACCATTATCAACAGCGGGGAATCCAACTAAGCTATACCAATACATAAAAATGTCGAGATTGAACATGCCCCACAGCAATCTAGCAGTTTCAATCGGAACACGCCATATCCATGTAAAAGTCACAACAGCAAAGACAACAGCTTGGCAAAGGGGCAAAAAGAGAGAAAACGCAGTGAATAGGGAGCGGGAGCCTCTACTAGGGGGATCTGAGGATTGAAGAACTAGATTCGACTCATCCTGTAACGAATAGCACGTTTGGAGATAGCCGGGTGAACTTCACAAATGTGGGGGAGAGAAAGGTCCCAAATTCCTGAAACCATTTGCCGTCTTTTCGCGGCCAGTCTATTGCCTCGTATTAGCTCTAAAGCAAAAAACGGGATTTGTATTGTGTGTTGCTGATCTAGCCTGTTCGTATACTCAAATTCGGTGAACGGCCATGCCGGGAACAGAAAGATGCTATTTTCAAATACCGAGTTTCAATTTGATACTTAGACGGTGAATAGGCTGAGGGGGTAAAAGAGAGCGGCAAGGGCAGTTTCCATAATTAAAAAAAGAAATAAAAAACATACAACAGTGAGGATTCGCTGGTGGTCACCCACCCAACTACTAACTCACCGGCGTGTGGCTTAAGTACGGCTGAGCGGACGGGAAGCCCTGTTTTCCACACCCTATGGTCGTATGTGGTTGTTATGCTACTAGAAAGGATTATATAATACTGCATGACGGATACTGCAAACAGCAAGAGCTGTGCTCACTACGCCCGCCAATACATGGTGTGCGAGTCGATAGCCCAAGGCCCGGTGAGCACTCTTCCATGCACTTTCATAGCAGGTGAAAATACTAATATCAGCGTTCGATATAACAAGCCACCGACCCCAAGAATCCCTACACTTGCCCGCGTGGGCAAGGGTAAGAAGAAGCATACGGGTACGTTTTACACAACTATCACAGCCATCATTCGACGTCGGATAACGACTTAGTTTACATTCTCTGTTGAACGGGTATACTAACGTTTAAAGTAAGCTACGGCCCTACGATGCTCGCCGCTACCTCAAATGACCCTCTTCAGGACACACCGCACTACCTTTCAACCCCTGGCATCAATCTAAATGACTTCAAGGCCCAGTCGCTGGCAAATTATCTCGAATTATAAGCATCGCACATGTAATTTTCCAAATTATAGCCAGGGCAGCCCATAATCAAACTCTACAGAGAGAGTACTAAGAGGCGATAATATTGATATGCGCTATATAGGAGACTATGTGGCTATAGATAGGAGAGGTTAAAGTGCCCGCTCCTGACCTCAACCAGCATCGGATCCATGGCTCTGGTGCTTTCTCAGGCCGATATAAATTTGAAGTGAGAGAGCAGTGACTGAAATGGGAAGAAAGAAAAGGTCCAAAGCCAGAAATATGAGAGGGTCTTGGGCTCTCAGTTCCTCTTCTATTTTCACCTTACCTCCCCATCATTCCCTTCTTTCGCCTCTCTCCCAATCTTCTCAGCTTTCAACTTCACATTTCTCTCTCGCCAGCTTCAGTCATGACTAGGTATATGTACCTAGCTAAGCCTAACCCGGTTGATGTAAGTGGACATCTTATCTACTTGTGAGGGCTACATTAACCCTTCTCCAACGAAACGCCTCGATCTACGAGGATATATTGATATTAACTAACGTGACCTACTAGGTATGCGCATACTGCCAAATAAGTGGGCGTGAGATCTGCAATTGCCACTGCCTCTCCGAATATTGAACCACATTTGCCACAACTGGCCTTGCACCTGGCCTTGCACCTGGCCTTGCACCTGGCCTTGCACCTGGCCTTGCACCTGGCCTTGCACCTGGCCTTGCACCTGGCCTTGCACCTGGCCTTGCACCTGGCCTTGCACCTGGCCTTGCACCTGGCCTTGCACCTGGCCTTGCACCTGGCCTTGCACCTGGCCTTGCACCTGGCCAGCCCACTCGGGGCTCGGTGAGAACTCTACATTTGATGACGGAACAACATACTGACATGTCATCTTTGATATATCAGGCTACTGTTAATCAGAAGTCCAACCATGTTGCGTCCTGGGGTGAGGGAAAGCAAAGTAGGTTTAAGACAACTATTCGTGGCTCGTGACGATACGCAGAAGGTTAACTCATGTGGTAGAGAGTTTCAACAGCGAAGCTGAGCTTAATCCAACTAAGGGACAGATTACGGCGACCTACCCCAAGCAGGATCGACCTTACTGGAGCTGGTGCCGTGCCTTTTGGGTTTGGTCATTCGGGCAGAGAAAGTAGGCTCCTAACGTGCCGCATCTAACGAGATATGTCAAGAAGGCACAGCAGTGCTGTGTGTGAGAGAGGTTAGACTGAATTGAACATATTTTACGTCGGGATTATCTTAGGCACATCTTTCACATGTAAACATAGAACTCTGTAAGGGTCGTGATAGGTAGGTCTTAGACTAGGTAAATACTTATGATTGATAACATATCAGGACATAATATCATATTAAAAGGCGTGAAAGAGAGGCTATGTGACCATGGTTTAATTTATAGGTCAACCATCTCATTTTGAAATGGGATAGAGGAATTGAAATGAGAAGAGAGAAAGAGCGTAAAGCCAGTGAGAGAGAGGTCAGAGTGGGTGAGATGAGAGTGGCCCTCAAATCCTCGGCTACTCTCATCGTCCCACGTCTCTTCATCCTTTCATCTCTTCATAAATTTCCCCCTTTCATCTGCCTTTCCTCTTTTGTCTTCCCCCATACAGTCGAACATTGAAAACTTCCACGACGCCGCGATCTGCCTATCTAGGCTTTGTTTCGATCTCAAATCCTCTTTTCAAATCCTTCTCTTGAGCCATGGATAACGACAGCTAGCACCCTGTAAGTGAATCCTCTCGTCTGTTTGTTGATGGTTGTTTATCCCATGCATTGTCTGTCGTTTCATCACCCCTCCTCCTGTGGGCATGGTATGATCTGCTGTGTCGGGTATCGTCTTCCCTTCTCTGTCGTCTTCCCTTCTCCAGACTCTCCCCCTCGCTACATCCTCTAAAGGGCATCTCGGCGACGATCATGTTTCATTCGAGCAACCATGGGTCCGTACGATGTGATACAGCCTCCCATGCATGGCGAGTTACCTTGAACAGCAGTGGAACTACTGGCTGCAGTTTCATGCTCTGTGGTCTCACATTCACCGCTTGCAGCAGCTGTGCTCTGATGCAGAGGAAACCGCAATGCGAACCGACAACGACGGAACGAATAATGTGAAGAGAGAATGATCAGCGAATTCCTATTCGGTCAAATGAGACAACGTGGGTGATTTTCAGCGTCGTCTAAGTCGGGAAAGGTCAAGCATAGCGAGGATCACGGTTTCTTGCATTTGTTCTTTTCAACATATCTACAACCAAACATGCCTCAACTGAGGGGTTCGGCATCGAAGACCCCGTGGTAATGTGACAATAGAATATACAGATCGTTATAGACGTAGGTTTAGCAGTATGTTGTAGGTGCCTAGTACCGAAGTTCCCAGAGAATGGAGAATGCCAAGAGGCCAGGTGATATTTATAGGCGCTAAAGAGAGGACTACATGACTATGGTATAAGTTCTCCATGTAGATAACCTCAGTATGTCAACTCTTGGTGTCAGTTCCAATGGGATATCCCAGCAGTTATCCACAGATAAAACATGAAACGTGAAGCTTGGCGCTATCATACCATGGATCTTAAGGAGTCTGACACCATACTCCACCCAGATGACATGCTCGGACATTTATAATTGAAACAGTTTTAGACGCTCGACAGAACCGAGCGCAGGCCAATTTTATCCAGCGGTTTGGTATCAGTTCGATGAAACATGAGTGGTTTAGTCCTGTCCCAATGGGTCATTGTATCTTTGGGTGTTCGGTCGAACGGTCCACCTCTACAATTCCGTACAGAACACGGAGTACTCCGATGGTAGTACACGTATACCCATGCAGCCCCATAAGGCAAAACGATCATCCTTCAAGCCACAGTCTTAATCCCTACCTTTCCGCCCGAAGCGAACATCGACGAACCTTCCACATCAGGAAATCCGAGATCAGGGCATCCTTCTCGGAGCCACGGTGTTAGACCGGTAAACCAGGCACTCACAGATCGTCCTGGACGCACGTTCTAATCGTATATTGTTCGCTCAGCTATCTACCGGAAGTCTCCGGCCCGCGAGCGGAGCTCACTAGATATATGTAGAAGTCGAAGCGGAGATCATGGCGGATGTTGTCTGATCCACAGGAACCACCTTCCCCGGTTGGAAGAGTGGGATTATTTTCCGTCACGGCGGGGGGGGGGGGGGGGGGGGTCATATCGCGATAACCCGCATATGGCATCGTATACGGAAAAAGAAGAAATCAACAATAGCCATGGGGGACTACACGGGGGCCTGGATGTTGTTGGGATTGGCAGATGGAAAGATGTGGAGACTCTTACCGCCAAGCCGGTCTTAAAAGCCTAAAACAGACTGGCAATCATTGCAAGGATACATTCGCTTAGTTCCTTGGCATCCGAATGCGAAATTTGTTCCTTGAGGGAGTGGATCTCTTGGCAGGCGATTCAGCCTTATTTTCTAGCATATTGGCGTTTCTTGGCTTCAGAGCATTACTGAAGTGATACCGTGTATGAGTTTCATTCGGAGTTAAGCCTTGCCCCTTTTCACTTATTGCGGGGTGAATGTCCAATGCGAGACTTAAGAGGTCAGGCTATATTGCTTACGTGGTACTTGGTGATTTCCTTTGCCGTTTGCGTTTATAGAAGTCAGTCGGGTATTGATTTTTATGTTCATATGTACATCCGAAATTATCCACAGTCCTCGGCTCAATTATCTCCATTTTGAGGATAACAAAGACCAGACCAACAGAGTGAAAAAAAAAAGAAAAACACCAATCATGATCTCAACAAATATGGAAAAAAGAAATAGGCCGAAAGAATAAAAATGTGAATCATAGAAAGGCAGAAAATGCAAGATATAAGAAATAAATGAGTGACAGAGAGACACTTGACGAAAGCAAAGGCCACCAGGGCATTGCCTTTTAATAAATCATTCCAACGTCTTTTCCAAGTCAAAAAATTATACTGTCGCCATCGGAATGCTGGTCGTAGGCAGCTGGGCTGGGTCCTTCTCATCTTCTTCGAACATCCACTTCTCCAATTTCTGAGCCATGCGCGCACAGAAGGGGTCAACATATCCAGTCCACAAAGTGGCACAGAAGTATACCAACACAATCCAAGCCGGGATACTGATAGCCACGACCCAAGGGGCGCGAATGGGGATCCAGTGTGGGTGGAGGGGCTCGCCGTCCTCGCCGTAGATCGGGTTACCCTTATCGTCGACGATATCACCGTCCCAAGGCTGGCCGGTAATTCCGTAAAGCATCCAGCACAGAACGGTGCGGAGGAGAGTGCCGTGCACGAGGTAAACGGCGAAACTCTGCTTGCCAAGCCAGAGGAGGAGACGACTGGAGAGGAAATCCTTGGTGGTGGGTGAGATGTAGATGGCGAAAATGATGAGGTCGACGCCCAGGGCGGAGTAGCGCTTGCCGACGTTGACCTTCGGAGGGAAGATGTAGTGTGAGGCCTGTTCCATGTAGGCAGACCATGTGGCCCATTCGGGGTGTTCTCCGGGATACGAGCAGATGAAAAGGCCGATGCAGAGAAGGATGCCTGCTACGATCTTGCGACCCCAGCTGTGGCGTTCGACGAATTGTTTGAAACCGTTCTCATATGAGAGATCGCTGAGGAACATGCCAAAAATTGCTTGCATTTGGAAGGTTTCTGTTTCTTGATTAGTACCAGTTGGGATTTGGGTTTCGTATAGAACTTACCGGTGTTCTTGGCCGGGTCCTGATGGAAATAAAGATACATTCCCAGGTAGATAACCAGGCGGAATCGGAACTTGACAAACATTGTCGCGCAGATAAGGACGTAAACCAACATAGATGTCTGGAGCAGCGGAAGCAAAGCCCACTGGTGATCATCGTATGCCATATAACCCGTTGTCCAAACCTCGAGGAAGGTCTTGAACAACCGGACAACCTCATCCCAGAAAGTCGGCGCCAGATCGACGGCTGCGTAACGACACCACCAACAGTCGGAGCGGTTAGCAGCGATAAAGGCGCCACACTGTGCCATGACCCATGAGATGATCAAGGCGATAGTAGCGGGGAAGATGAGGCGAGGTGGACGGCGGAAGGCACTCTTGGCCACTGATGTGAAAGCCCCCAGGAGGTCGCCATTGCGAGACTGTTTGAGCGGCTTGAGAGCGCAAACGTAGCCAGTCAAAAAGGCGAAGATCGTGACACCCAAACGGCCTTGCCAAGGAATACGGAAGACGGGCCACTGCAGAATTCGGGGAGGGATGTCAACATCGTCGCGAGGGGCGAAGAGGTCATAATCCCATGCTCGGGCAAGGTGAGTTAGGATAACTAGGAACGAAGCGATTCCTCGTAGGCCCTATTCATGATGTTAGTAAGGTCATCCCTACCAGGCTGAGATGCGAACTCACGTCAATCCACTTGACACTTTTCCGCGGATCACCTTTCACCGATGGATCTGCAGACTTCCAGGGAATGTTGTCCAATATGCGGGAGTAAATATGGGTTGGTTGGATATACTCCATGATGGGTGTAAAGAGTGAATGAGAAACCGAAGTCCGATAGAAGACTCGGGGTGACTAGTGGGCTGATTTAAATTCCAAGGCCAAGACCATAAACATTGAAGGTCGAGATGCTCCAGAAATGCCAAAAAAAAAAAAAAATAACAAAAGGCTGTGTTCAAGGGAGAGCAAGGTAGAGACAGATAAGGTTGAGCCTAAAAATGGTATACCTCCTCCATGGATCAACGAGTGTAGAAGTTTAGAAAGACAAGAGGCCAAGACAGCAGAATGGGGTATTAAGAGAAATCCGAAGTTCTCGCCATTTCCACCTTGAAGATCGCTTGGCCAAGCGGAAATGGGAAAGGCGAACGTGAACATGGGGGTATCGCGTGGAGTTGTGGACCTTTGAAA